TCAAGACCTTATCCTGGAGGAGGATGCAGACCTGAGATTTGGATGGGCGGGGAAGGGGGTGTTCCCCTGACCCTTGCCTGCCTTCTAGGTTATGCAGTCCAGCACCAGAGTAGACTGGAGGGGCGGGGGGAGTAGCCATTGTATATAAAAACACTCTAGGGGCTCCGCGGTGGTGACACCAGATCTTGAGGCCCTTCACGTGTCGATGGTATTGGGATCTTGGTGGGTTACCGCGACCCAGCCATTTCCTTTCCGGAGTTGGCAGACTTGGTCTCCGTGGCACTGTTGTGGATCCCCAAAGCTTTTGACCTTGGGTGATTTCAACATCCATGAGGAGGCAGAGGCTTCTGGTCCAGCTCTTGAGTTCTTGGAAACCATGGCTTCCTTGGATATGTCCCAACATGTCAACGGCCCCACCCATGTGGGTGACCACACCTTAGACCCGGTGTTCTCCCGCAAGCGGAGAGAGGTTGGTCTGATGGTGACTGACCTTGTGTCAGTCCCCTTGCCATGGTCGGATCATTGCCTAATTAAATTTAACCTCTCAGTGGCTCTCCCTCCCTGCAGGGAGCAAGTACCTATTTTAATGGTCTGCCCTCAAAGGCTACTGGATTCTATAGGATTCCAGGATTCCATGAGAGGGATTCCGGCTGACCTGACAGAAGCTCCTGTCGAGGCTCTGGTTGACGGCTGGCTTGCTGCTGCTACCAGGACTGTTGACACAATCACTCCTAAATGCCCTCTCCATTGCAGAGCTTGTCCAGTGTCCTGGTTTAACCAGCAGCTGCGAGCTATGAAGCAGAACAGGAGAAGGCTAGAGTGCAATTGGAGACAGAATCCGATGGAATATAATCGGAAAGCTGTCAGGATCACAGCTAACCATTACCTTATTAAGGTGAGGGCTGCTAGTCGAGCTCACTTTGCTGTCTGGATAAACAAAGCTTCAAATCAGCAGGTGGAACTTTTCTGTATAGTCCGCGATCTATCTGGAATTGGTGTAAGTCATAGGCCTCCTACTAGTATCTCACCTGACCAATTTGAGGCATTTTTAAAATCTAAATTGGAGGCCTTCTGCTAGGAACTTTCCTTTTTTGAACACAGTAGATCGAGCAGAAACCTCCAGCGCTCTGCCTTGCCTGATGAGACTTGATCTCTTTCAGCCTGTGACACCAGATATGGTGGACAAGGTGCTTGACTGCTGTCGTGCCACCACCTCCTCACATGACCCTTGCCCGACCTGGCTAATCAAAGCAGCCAGGCCTACAACAACTGAATGCGCCCCTGCAATAATTAATGGGTCTCTCCAGGAGGACAAGGTTCAGCTTGCCCTCAAGGAGACACTCATTAGGCCCATTAGGAAGAAACCAAATGTGGTGGCAGACAATATTGACAATTATAGGCCCGTCACCAATGTTTCTTTCCTTAGTAAAGTGGTAGAGAGGGTGGTAGCTGATCAGCTTCAGACACTTCTGGATGAAACCAATGCCCTCGATAAACTTTCCCCAAGCTGTACTCTCTGGGGACGGTCCTCTAAGAAGGATTGGAGCCAGGCTAACGCCAGACCATTGATTCCCAGCTCAGAGAGCCTCCCCAGAAGAATACCGTGGTCAACAGCATTGAAGGCGGCTGAGATATCGAGAAGGATCAACAGAGACATTTTGCCCCTGTTGGCCTACCTCAGCAGGTCATCAAACAGGGCAATGCCGTTTCCGTACTGTGGCGCAGCCTGAAGCCAGACTGAAACGGTGTTGGAGCATTCTTTGGCACTGCTCTTCTTTGGGATTGGGATGTAGACTGATCTTTTCCAATCCTCTGGCCACTGGTGAGGTTTCCAAACTTGCTGACATATTGAGTGTAGCATCTTAACAGCATCATCTTTCAAGATTTTAAATAGTTACACTGGAATGCCATCACGACCACTGGCTTTCTTGTTAGCCATGCTTTCTAAGGCCCACTTGATATTGCTCTCCAGGATGTCTAGCTCAAAGTCAGCAACCACACTATCTGGGTTGTCTGGGACATCCAGATCTTTCTTGTATAATTCCTCTGTGTATTCTTGCCACCTCTTCTTGATGTCTTCTGCTTCTGTGAGGTTCCTATCATTTTCGTCCTTTATCATGTCCATTTTTGTACAAAATGTTCCTTTAATATCTCCAGTTTTGTTGCACAGATCTCTGATTTTCCCCTTTCTATTATTTTCCTCTATTTCTTTGCATTGTTCATTTAAGAAGGCCCTCTTGTCTCTCCTTGCTATTCTTTGAAAGTTTGCATTCAATTTTCTGTAACTTTCCCTCCCTTGCATTTTGTTTCCTTTCTCTTCTGGGCTATTTGTAAGGCCTTATTAGAGAGCCACTTTGCTTTCTTGCATTTCCTTTTCTTTGG